CTCCCACACAGTATTTACCCTCCCAAAACTAAGGGAAATCAAATTAAAATAGATATATCCAAGACTTTGGGATAATTAATAAGTTCGTATATTCAGAAGGAGAAGAAAAGTTATTTTTTGTTCCTGAATGGTGAAAAAGAATCTCACAAACACATGAGAATCTGAATCCAGGAAACACTGACGGAGACAAAACTTTCGAGGAATTCCCACAGACAAAATCCCCCACAAAATAAATTCCAGTGCCCTGCTTTGACAATCTGAAAATCAACCTCTAAATTATAGCAAAACAGTGAATCACTTGTGGAAAGGATTAACGAATTTACCTGAATCGCCAGCTCCCAAACTGGTGGACAGACCTCATTCGCTCTCTTCTGTTTCCAGCTCCGCAGCGTCCAGGCACTCTAACGCTGTTGTTGCTGCCTGTCCTCTCTCGACTTCAAATTCCTCATGGCACCACCATCTGCCTCTAGAGCTGGAGTTCCCCAGCCCTTTGGGTGGGTCTATGAATGGATTTAGAGATGTTGATAAATCCCTCGGATTTAATATAAAACTTGAGTTTATAACTTAAATGATCCAAAATGATGAGAACTGAAAGTCTATAGTGAGAGCCCCAAAAATGACCGCGCGGTGCCAGCCCGCCACAGGCGCACCCCATGCCATTCACCTGTATGCCACCAGCAGGAGCTCCCGTGGGCAGGGACGCGCTCACAGCTGCTCAGTCCACGAGTCTCAGTAAACAGAACTCTTGCTCCGCCCAGGAGGAAGTCTCCCGCTGCTCCACGCCCTTACCAGCTGTCATTCTGGCTACCGTGCGAACGCTGTCAGCTCAGGAGGAGCGCAAAAAACTACCAGGTCAGGGGCAACCCTGGGAGCCGCCTCCTCCAGCCCAGATGCAAGCGGAAGCCGCTGCCCAGTACTGGCAGCTTCACGGTGGCCACAGCTGCATGCAGCCTCCGGACTGCCGAGGCTCGGCTCTCTCCTGGTCATATCGTAAAAGACAGAGTTCCTTTCCTCACCAATACGGCCCCAGGACATAAGGCGAGTCCATGCTGGACTCTCACAACGGAGGCACGAGGTACTGGATTTGCGATGGGGGGAAATCTCCAGCAGACAGTGAGCGCAAGCAGCTTCTGCCGACCACAGCATCATACACACTGGCAAGTGGCTGAACTTTTGATAAAGTCTTAGGAAGATGCTTTAATTACTAGATAGGTACCCCATTTTCAATATATTTAATACTCTGTGAAGAGCACACAAACCATACTAAATGAAAAGATGTCTTCTCTCAAATTAGGGAGACCAAAGAGATAACTATGCAAAGATGTGTAACAGTAAAGGTATGGGAAAGGTAAACATCTAACCGATGCTGCTGCCTTATGTAAAAGTGTTACCAATGCTGAACAAAGAATCAGAAAAACCATTAGTACTCTATCCCAAGACCCTAGGGACACACAGAGTAGGTAGATTGTTTACCCTGTGTGAAATCAGGACCACTCCTCACCTTCATTCACTACTACATCATCATTATTCTCAAACCCTCACATGTATAGCTGATACTTGATATTCACATTTGAACTTCCTATTTTAGCTTAGGCCAGGGTCTGACTCATTAAAATGCAAAGGGCTGAAGGGAAGTAAAGCTAAGCTTCATTACTTATATCTCAACCTATGACTTCTTTTGAGATCAGGCTTTGATGAACTGAGAGAGGAAGGAAACACTAGACTCTAGACTCCAGAAGCTGCAGGGAAATGTACAAAAATGTGACAGAGGACAGATTGCTGGATTTGACAAAAGCTAGCTATATATACAAAATATAATTGAAAGCTTAATATTTCTGATGCCAAACAGCAGGAAAAGAAACACTCAATGTAAAAAATGATTCTTAGATTAAATTCCAGGGATTAAAATGTATTAGTGAAGCAGAAAATGCACTATTAAGCAATATTTGGAAAAAGAAAATAAAGTAGCTTCTGGAAATAAAAAAATAATTGCTAAAAAAATAAATAAATAAAAGGTCGATAGTAAAAGTTCTATGAGGATCTACCAAGCGGAAAAAAAAACAAACATAAAAGATACAATATAGAAATTAATTCTACAGTTCTAGCATATCTAATAGAAGTTCTATAAAGAACAGATAAAACTTAGAACAAATTAGCAAAGAAATAATACAAAATACTTCCTAGAAAAGGGTGATCTACCTGCAAAGCACACCAAGTACTAGCTGGAATTAAAAGGCCCACTTGTTATAATATTTAAGACCACCATCTTTTGGGATCAAGCTTCCAGAGAACACTAACTGAACCTGGAATGGTAATAATATGGTGAAAAGGGCATTTTTTTTTTTCTCTCAGCAAGAAAGGAAGACAAACTACAGAGTAAACAAATTGCTCAAAAAGAATACAGCCCAAGTTTAAAGCAAACTGGTATGTGGAATGGTTCTGATCAGTTTCTCTTTGATCCTGACAAAATAATTCTCCCTAGAAACATAGCAGAGGTCATAAAATTAGAAAAATGGTAAAAGAAGGTAATCAGACTGTGTTAATTGGACCATTCAGAGAATATTTATATAATATAAACCCTGCCTATAGCTTTCCAATTTTAGAATCAAACTGTAGATTGAACAAGGGAGGGCTTTATAGTTATATAAAAGAATGTAAATATTAACTTTTGGAAATGTAAATGTACAGTTTACAGATGTTGCAATGTAAAAAGGGAAAAAGAGGGAAGGAAAATTTTGCTTTATCATCTCACAATGATGTATGTCTAACTATATTATTTAAAGTTACCAAGTTTTTTTTTTTTGCTTTCTCATTCCACAATATATGTAAGTCACACCATCATGTACATCTTAAACACATACAGTGAGGTATATCAACATTATCTCAATAAAACTGGAAAAAATATAAAGTTACGAAGGGAAGAAGAGTGAGGTGAGTTAAACCCTTACTTATCATACATAAAGTCAACATATGTCTAAACTTGGTGAGACAAAAATAAAATATATGACGGCAAACACCAGAAACGGTTAAAGGAAGGGGAATGTAGGATGTGGAATAGCAATTTTTAAAGGGAGAGGCAAGAGAATATTGCTTCCTAGTTTAAACCCTTCTATATAGCATTTTATTTTCTAATCATATGTATGTTACTTTGATATTTTTTGAAGAAATCATTCAAATATATGCTGAGAAATGAGGAAAGTAATTGAGCACAAGGACATTTACAGTTGTTTTGTAACGATGGTGGTATTATGTATGATTTTCTTTCTCTTTTTACATTTGATTCAGTAATGTGATTACGGTAATTTGACACATCAAGGACCTCCAAAAAAACTTTTAAAGCAATCAGGTTATGACCTAGCAACTCTCTGAGGAAATGAGGCAAAAAGGTAAATTGGCCTATAAATGTTCACTGTAAACAAACTAGAAAGTTCAGACACAGATATTACAATAACAATGCAAAATATCTTCATTTAGCCTTTTCCAAAAGTGAGATTTTAAAGTTAAACATTTCCCATATTTTTATTAATTTAACTTCCTTGTTATGCTCGTCTCCTTTGCACATTTGTCTATGGATATTCTATATATCCACATATAAAGAACTACATGTTGATAAACCACTGCAATCACATTAATATTTTTCCTTGTCTGCTGTTTACTTTTTATATCGGTAAATAATTTGTGATCAATTCTGTTCATTGATTCCTTCATTTTTCCTTTGAGCTTGCAGTCAACTCATCCTCAGCTCATAAATTTAAGAGTTAACTATAGTTTTTGTAGTTTTAATTTTTTATAATTCACTTGGAATTTATTTAAAATATGGTATGTGGTAGGCATCTAACTAGCTATCCTAACATCTGTTGAATAGTCTTCTTTTCATAAGTGCTGCCTCTTTTATTAACTAAATCCCTATAAGATATATGTTGAGGACATGTTGCTTTGGATTTTAAGTGAATAATAGCATACTCTCAAAACTAATTCTTTCTGTCTCCTTAATATTTACACCTCACTTGTTTTATGTCTTAATGTTTTAGTTCATTTATTTAATGATTTATTAAGAACTTCTTACATTCTAGACATAGTAAGTTTAAGATACAAATGGTAAATGAAATAAAGGTTCTTTTCCTCATTAATCTTAATATATCAAAAAATTAATTATGGCAAGAGTGAGCAACATTGTTTTTTGTTGATATAGTTTGAGTTCAATGAGTGATTTTCATCATTACATCTGTGTATTAATGCATCTTATACATTAACATTTAATTTATGTGACTGTTCATTGATTTCATAAGACTCAATAAAACAAAATTTCAAAATATAGAAGTTGAGAACTATGATATGTCACAAAGAAAAATTAAAAGTGCTATTGGAAAACTTAGGGGGGAAAGTGTTTCATCCTTTATTTTCAAGGAAAGTCTGTATATTATAAAAACAAACATTTGTTATGTCATTGAGTACAGAGCTCACATTGCAAACATTCAACCATATTTATCACATATATCTGATGATCTAAAATCAAAATCACCTTTAGAGGCTTATGTCTTTCACTGTTTGCTTCATGAAAATCATATTCTAACATTTCAGTGACACACTATTACTTTAAAGCCTCCTTTTAAGTAAAAATGAGACCCAATAATTTTTAACCATAAGTATATCATATATCCAATTGCTTGTTATAGGATCAATAAACACTATACTAAGACTTAGCATTTAGACATGAAACATGTCTAAAACCCCTGAAGAATACACTAGAAATAAGCAAGACATTTAGAATGCTTTAATCTTTCCAGTTAACACCATTTGTATCAGTAACTGCAACGTGGTATAACTTTTAGCATTTCACATAACTAGTCAGTAAGGATTTTTTTTTTAAGGGTAGGAGTAAGAACAGAAGGACAGGAGATAGATGAGTGTCGGGTTTCACACTTGTAATAAAAACTCAAAAATCAAAACTGTTTTCTTGTCTGCATCAAACTGTACCACCAACTTGAAGTTTGTTTTATTTAATCCCATGACTCATCATCTACTGGACTGGGAGCTTGTGAAGAAGAAAACCCTGCTGTGTTCAAAGTGCTCTTGCCTTGGTAATTCTTTAAAAAAAAGAAAGAAAAAGAAATATTTAATTATATGACAGCTTTAAAGTTACACTGCTCAGACTGAGAGCAAGGACTCATGCTTTCCACCATGTCTTCCCCAAACATATGAAGAACTTCATTCTCACTAAACCCAATCCATTTGAAAAAAGACCCATATCAATCTGGGAAGTCTAAATTACATAAAATATTTCAAGAAAAAAATTTTGTAAGCCAATAGTTTTGGCAAGTGGAAAAACTTAAAGCTCTACACGTCAATGAATAAGCATAAATATTTAATGATTAATATGGTTCATGGTTTCTGCATAAAGGTGGTGTTGCTTATAAACTGACAAATTGGAAAAGACATAAAACTCATCTCTAGTATGTTATCTTAGTAAATAATGTGGTCAGAATTCCAAAAATAAAAAATTCCTACATTTATATAAGAAGTGATCCCCGATTAGTAATCACTTGGCACTATACATAATTATTACAATATTACTGACTATATTCTCTAGGCTGTACTTTATATCCCCGTGACTATTTTGTAATTTCAATTTGTTCTTCTTAAACCCTTCACCTTTTTCACCCATTCCCCCCAATCCCATTCCCATCTGGCAACCAATTTGTTCTCTTTACCTATGAGTCTGTTTCTGTTTTGTTTGTTTTGTTCTTTAAATTCTACATGTGAGACCATATGGTACTTGTCTTTATCTGACTTATTTCACTTAGTATATCACTATGCTGTACACTTGAAACTAATATAACATGTTGAATGTCAACTATAATTGAAAAAAAAACAAAGACTATTTAAATAAAAAAAAGTGGATTGGTGGTTGCCAGGGATTGTGGGGAAGGGGCAATGGGGATTAACTGCTAAATGGATCGGAGTTTTATTTTAGGGTGATGAAAATGTTTTGGAATTAGAGAGAGGAAGTGGTTACACAACATTGTAAATGTACTAAATGTTGAATTTTTCATTCTAAAATGTTAATTTTGTTATGCAAATTTCACCTCAATAAGAATTCCTATAGAAAGTTCAAAAGATCCCCATTATCAAAATATGCCAGCAAATTTGAGAAAGGAGGATGTTTGAGCAATAAATTTCGAAGTTAATTCTTCATCTTTTAAGACCAAAAATATGTATGTACTTAAAATTTTAGAGAAATATTCAAGTAATCTCCTAGGTATAAAAACAATGGTTTAGATAAATATTGAATGTTATAGTTACTTCATAATATTAGACACATTTACAAAGAGTAAGTAAAAGCCAGATTCTTAATTTTTCCCCTCAACTAACCTTTCTAGTATCAACTGATGCAAACACATTTCCTCTTGTACTACCACTGAAGCCAGGAACATATGTGCTAAAGGCAATTTCTTCCAACCACGCAGGAACATCCTGTTGAGCCTTTAAAAAAAATTAACTTCATGTACAACATGCATAAATAAAATCTTAAAGATTAAAACAATTTATTTTTCCTTAACATACATATGTATAAAATGTCTACTTTCAATGATGAGGTAAGAACACTCTCCATTTGTTTTTAAAAATTTAATACTTACATCTGACAGTACTTTCACCAGAGGCTGTGCTAAATGGCTATCTGATTCAGGATCAAAAAAGGAAATAGCTCTGCCAATATTTCCACAACGACCAGTACGCCCAATTCGATGAACATATTCATCAATGGTGGAAGAAAGGTCAAAATTAATAACATGTTGAACATTTTCAATATCCAACCCTCTGGCAGCTACTGAAGTAGCAACAAGAACTGGGCACTTTCCACAGCGAAAATCTCCAAGAGCTTGTTCTCTCTCTCTCTGTTCCCGATCACTTGAAAGAAAAGAAAGCATGTATTTTAGGATAACTCTTAAGAAAATAATGAGAACCATTAAAGTTCAACACATAAATTTTTTAATAATAAAACAGTGACACTGAACATTAATGTCTACTTCTTACACACCATGTATTACACTAATCCCTTTCAAGCCATTATTTTATTTAATTCTCACAATACTTTCAGGTAGAACAATTATCTCAATTTGCAGATGAGGTAACAGCTAATATATACAGTCAAAATATAAACTAAGTATGACAAATGTCAAATCTCACCTATTAATAATCTCTATTAATAATCTTTCTAGGTTGAAAGATTATGTATATTTGAAAAAAATATACAACTACTTAATTAGAATGCTTTCTCAAAAATACTGATTATTTTTTAAAAACTATAACCTCAGAATTCTACATATTCACTGATTAATATTTTAAAACTACTAGTGAAGCATCAAAAAAGTTGTGTTAATATGATATTTTTAAGCATTCCAATAAAAAAATGTCAAGCATCAAAAAGATTAGATTCAGCAGAGGAAAAACTAAGATCTATGGACCAGAGAACCTTAAGTGAGATCTTTTGAGAAGTTACCACACCTCATGAAGAGTCTTAAGACAGATCTTTCACTCACTCATCCCTGCCACTCAGTTCTTGTAAACACTTAAAAAGAAGATTAAGAGTTTAGATTTTGAGAATTCTGAATCCTATTCCTTGAATTGCATATTAGTTATAGATACTGATGTTTCTTAACAAATGACACATAGAAGTTACCTCCCTACTAGGAAATCATATAAATCTACTCACCCATGAATACTTGTTGTTGATATCTTTTCTTGACAAAGAAAAGTAGCAATAAAATCTGCTTTTTTCTTAGTTTCAACAAAGACCATAGTTCTTTCATCACCTACAAGACAATGAAACAATGATTAACACTCAAACTAAAAAATCAGGAAAAGAAAAGAAGGATGAGGGGTGAGTAGGAAACTGTCTCATCTACCACTTTATTCCCAGCACCTAAACCTGGGCCTGGGAGGTATTAGGGACTCAAATATTTCCTGAATAATGAATGTCAAAGATAAAAAGACAAGGATTTTTTTTTTTTTTTTTTTTTTACTTTAGGAACTAAAAATATTAGTTTCCCCTTTGCCCTTCCCAAGTCAACAGCAGGAAGTAGAGACTTGGGTACAGATAAGTGATAACTACCTGCCAACTCTTAGTAATCCCAAATTTGTCTCAGGTCCCTCACTTCCCTCTCTATATAAATAAATGCCTTTGCTCTTCCAAGATAATCCAATCTTTCATTATGCATTAATTGCCCAAAGTATTTATAATAATGGCATCCAACCTAGGGCTGACAAACTCTAGAAGAACGGTCTCTGATCTTTTTGGCACCAGGGACCGGTGCTCCTAAGAGAATCTAATGCCTGATGATCTGAGGTGGAGCTGAGGCAGTGACGCTAGCACTGGGGAGTGGCTGCAAATACAAATTAGGCTTCAGTAGCTTGCCAGCCACTTGCGCCCTGCTGTACTGGTCTGTGGCCCAGGGGCTGGGGACCCGTGCTCTAGAATATTTCACATCACAACTTTATCTCTTAATCCAAACCTCTTTACCCCCAAAGTATCTTATATATAAAGAAAATTAAGTGATAACTTTTTCACAGGGTCTTAATGCATCAAAGATTATTTACTTGCAAGTTTAATTGGTAGAAATTCAAACATGAACCAGATTTTTTCCACATAAGGAATTTCCCTATAAAATGTTAGAAAGACGATAGTTATAGCCTTAATGAAAGAATGTATTACTGTTCATAATCCCTCTCCCCCATCTCCCTATCATCTGGCTTCATTTATTCAACACATATTTAATGCCTAGAAGATATTCTAGGTGTTGGAAATACAGCAATGAAACAAGGCCGCTGCTGTCATTGTGGGGATGCAAATAATAAACAAATTTATGCATGAACTCCTAAAAATGAAAAATTCAACAGGATAAATGGTCCCAAGAAGGTTACTTTAGATGTACCCTCTTCTAGATGACATCTGAGGAGACATGAATAAGATAAGGTAGTGAACTACTCAGGTACCTGAGGAAAGAGCATTACAAGAGAGAGTGAAGAACAAATAAAAGGCTCTGAGGCATGGGTTTTTTTGATGTGCTCAGGAAACAAAACATACCCCAGAAAATGGGCCCCCATGTGGCCCCTACACTCTGGGAAGAGGAAACAGCAAGTACAAAGGCCGTGAGGCAGCAGTGCACCAGGTATGTGTGAGAAATAGTAATGAGCAAAGTGTGGCTGGAGTAGGGTAAGCAAGGGAGAGCAGTAGAAATGAAGACAGAGAGGTGACAGAGGCCATTTCACGCAGGGCCCTTTTTTACTTTGAGAAGGGAAGCCACTGGACTTTCAGCAAAGAAGTGATAAGATCTGATCTTTGCCTGATGAGCAGCTAATGAATTCTGTATATATATATTTTGATGGTAGAACCAAAAAAGATTTTACTAACAGATCAGAAGTATAAGATAACTCCAAGATTTTGTGTCTGAGAAACTGGAAATTACAACATTAAGACAGGAGGACTACGAAAAAGGTTTAGATATTTATGTCTCCACTTTAGACAACCAAGTAGAGAAACCAAAAAGGCAACTGATTCTTGCAATAAATGAGTTAAATCTTTGAGACATAGTCATTTTATTTATGATTAATGATTTTATGTTTCATGGTTTTTTCTCTTTTTTTTTTTTTTTTGAGGATATCAAGAACACCCATGTCTCAGAGCCTTTATATTTGTTCTTCCCTCTGCCTTGTCATTCGACAGTTTCAGAGCTCATCTAACAAGATGCCCAATAACAAAACTGATTCATCTGATAGAGTCAGGTATAGAAAATACTGAGCAACTTAAGCCTTGATCTCATCTTTTGGTTCCTGGTGTGAATCCTGAGTGGCAATAAAAAAATTTAATTCTGCTGACTCTTTTACAACAAAGGTTATTCATTCTTTTCCTTGTCGTCAGCATATAGCAGAGATCTGTTGACTTTATTACATATTTATTTTTTAAAAAAACAGAGCAAAGGTCTCTTATTTATGAAAGAGCTATCTTTCTTTACAATCATGTTAGCTGCTGTGTTTATTTTTAAATGCTTTGTCACTTCAATTAAATTAGTAACCAATGTTAATACACTGTTCCTCAGACCCCAATGACCCTAATCGAATATTCAACTCTCCTCTTACAATTCTTGATTTTGCCTTTTTAAGAACAGACCATAAATTTACAAAAAGAAATCCACCTAAACCACCTAAGAGATTCGCCAGAGAACCCCAGGAAAAATACAAAGTCTTGTTATTTTACTTTATAAAATAAAAGAGAGGCTAAAAATAATTAGGTTTGTTTGATGTGTTACTATTTTTAAGAGTTGCATGGTAAAAGCTGTCAAATCAGAAGAGACATTAAACTGCCCGAGGTAAAATGTGTAAGTAAAATATTAATACATTTCAAAAAAATGTATACTTCATGGGAAGTCTCTGGAGAAGTGTAAATCCCCTTGTTGTTTTTATGATGTTTTTACCTTCAGGAGAACACTGATCAAAACACTCATGAAAATAACTCTATATAGTCTTTCTATATTTATCAAAGGCCTGAAGGTACACTTCTGATACAACACTATAGTGCTGCCAGTCATAATCTCACTTTTTATGTAAAATTTTATTTGGTTACAACCTTCTTTTTTAATTTGAATCTAGAATCTTTCAACTGGGGATGTACATCAGACACACATGGCGTTTTGTAAAAATACAGATGACCATCTCCTATTCTACTCTTACTTAATATATGTACTTGATATTCTTGGTATGAAAAACTATGTCTACCCATTTTCAGAAGTCAGAAGTAACATTCATATGCCATGAATACAGGCTTAATTATCATCATTTGAGACATTTTGTCTATACTTTGTTAGAAATAGCTTTATTACTTTTATTTTGCATGCCATAGAAACAATCAAATTCCCTTATTAGTATTCTTATTAAAACCACATCAGATCTTCCATATTTAACAATTATCAGTAAAAAATTAACCATAATTATTGTCTTTGTCAAAAATAGTTTTTGACACTTGCCCATAGGCTGTGCTATAAGCCAGAGCTTGTATCTTCAACAAAGGACAGACTCCTAGCCTTGTGGGAAAGGACTGTACCAGGCACTTCAAACTACTGATATTTCAAAGAATAGAGTCTTGGGGAGAAGGTTCTAAATCAACATTGCTTTGACAACTTTCAGATCATATCACTGGACTGAGCAGGATTTTTAGGACTAGTTCAAAAGCAGATGGAATCATGAAAGTAGACTGCTAACATCCAATGAAACAAAAATTACATAAAAAATCTGGGGTACCTTTATGAGAGAATTTCACTCAAATTTCTAGGAATTGCAAATGAAATATGGTAGGGAGAGTTTCTTAGACTTAGTTTTTATTCTTCAGGTAACAAATAATGAAGCCTTTAAAAATTCAATCTCAGATTTACAATGCAAACTTCCAGACAAAAGTTAAAACTTTAGTAATTGTTCAATACTAGATTTGCAAAACAAACGCAGGAAGACCTATATTGTTAATGAACAAGTCTTACTGCATCTATGCAAATAAACCAAACATAATGAAACCAGCCTTTCTTGTAATCAAGAACAATCTGAGATTATTGTGCTCATGGGAAGATATAGGCTGTCAGGAAAAACTGTGAAACACTTTGAAATGAGCAAATTATTTAGCATACCCCTCAGGGTTATCTGTGCCTTTTACTCTCTTCTTTTCTTTTTATACCTCTATTGTGACTGATACAATGCAAATGATTATTTTCAATAAAAAACAAATATTCCTCTCAAATAGAATTGATTATTGCTTTGTGGATATTAACCAGTTTTGCATTTATTTGTAAATTCATTTTAGCCTTCCTGATAGCCTAAACATGTATGTGTTGTTGGAATTCTCCTATGAACTAACAATAATATCTTATTAATTCCCTTGGTAATGAATAAACTCAATAAAATCTTTGACACCCATTCATTTAAAATTAAAATTATTAAAAGGGCAGTTGGTTATACTAGTATGAAATCATGAAAACTATAAAATTTAAAGGCAGAAGGGGAAAAGCTGGCAGATTAAAGAGCAGATAAAGAGATAAATTATATGAACAAGAATACGTAAAATTTGAAGATTTACTAGATGGATATTCTATGCAGAGTAAAAAAAATACAAGAATAAATTCTAAACTACAAAACATGTAACAGTTAAAATAATACAGAAGTATACCAATAATGCACATACACTAATCTCAAAGGTTTCTCAAAGGCAAACCAGCACTTTTGAAAAACTCTATTAGGATTATTCTCAAAATAAGCTTTATTCCACAAATTCATATATTAAAGATCTTAAGGTGATTATACTAGAAACGTGCTCTAACTTCAGCAAAACCATATATTTGCTTATCTCTTCTGCATTTGGAGTTTCAATTTACTAAGCAATTTACTAAGCAAGTTATTTGATCTCTTTATTTCCATGTCCTTCATCCTTAAAAGAGAGATAAGAAAACCTACCTCAGAAGGTTGTTTTAAGAATTAAATGAGTTAATACATGTAAAACAATGAGAATAGTATGTGGCCCACCACAACTATTATTTTTATTTCACAAGCCACAGTATATGTTTTGAAACATTATGAAGCAAACCAATAAAACTCTTCAAACTCAAAATATTTGGTTTTAAAAGATTTTTAAAATAAAACAGCAAAAACTAAAGACTAGATGCCTTTTAAAAGTACTTTTTATATCAACATCTTTATTTTGCTCATTTTTAGAAACAGATGATTCCTTGCTTTCTCAATTCCCCTTCCCAACACTGATACTCAAACTGAAAGAGATAGACTAAAATGGAAGACAGGGGAGGGGAGTGTGGGGAATGTACAGACTATAAGTACACCTAGCCTGTAAGGTAAAAAAAAAAAAGTATTACAATGGACATATTAGAAATTTTTATTTCCAGGTACAAACAAAAGCTATGTCTAACAATGAAATATATGACTTTCTATAAAAATTGTTTGGGGTGGGAGGAAGGGAAAGGATAGCTTTCTTATGGGTATTGTGAAGGAACAGAATTAGATCTTTAAAGTCTTCTCTAACTCTAAAATTCTTTGAATCTATGAATACAGGAAGCCTTAGGAAAGAAAAACTGGCAATTAAAAATTAAAAAATTCATTTTAGGTGGAATAGAGTTTCATGTAAAAATATGTTACTAAACTTATTTTCTAGTAATATATATATATATTTCTGTTGAAATAGTTTTTAGTCAAATCTTATTAAGCAAAGTCTCAAGTCCTTCCTATTTTTAAGCTTTATGGAAGAGAAAGGATTATACTGCTATATAATTTACACTGAAAATTGAATCATAAAAGCTTTTATAAAAGAGCTTTAGAAAAAGAGAAAATAATGAAAACAAACAACACTCATGCCAAACAATTCTCGGAATAATTTTTAAAAGTCAGCCTTTAAAAAAAAAAAAAAATCAAGATCATGACCAAAAATAATTATATCAATGTAAGATACCTATGTTTCGTAGAATTTCGACAAGTTTTTCTCTTTTTGAGTACTGGCCAACTTGGAGAATGGTCTGCTGAACATCTCTACATGCTCCACCCACTTGTCCAACAGCAACAAACAAATAATTAGACTTTAAAAAATCCGCGGCCAACCTTGAAAGACAAAAGATTATTTCTTAATTTATCTTCTTCCATTAATATTCATAATATTCACTGAATTCCTGCAAGTGTTACTTCAATTTTAGATTATAACAGCTATGAGGTAGATACTTATATCATCCAAGTACTATTTTCAAAAGTCGATATAAATGCTAAAATTTTGCAAAACACATAACTACTAGTGAAAAAGTTTGTGTCAAATAATGGACACAGTAATTTCAACTGGATGTACTGATCATGCGAAACTATATAAAATGTGACAGTAACCCTGAGTCAAAGATCTTTTGCTGCTTGAGTCTGGGAACCAAGGGATGCAAGCAACAGGGGTTCATGTACCACCCAAGTGACCCACATAGAAAATCTATACTCTCCGTACCCCTAGAACTACAGGTTCTGCAGGTGTAGAAGTCTTAGTTCCCAAAGAAAGAACAGTTCTTCTAGAGAAAATAGCAAGAGTCTCACTGAATTATAAGCTAAAACTGCTATTTTAGCACTTCGGGCTCCCTGTAGCCAAGAGACCAGTAAGCAGGAAGAATCTCCATTCTAGCAAGGATGTGTCATCCTAATCCCAGAATTCACCAGAGGACATGGTATATAGTATGATACCCAAATACTTGTCAACAATAGGTATGTAAATTTTCTGCCAAAGGCTCTATAATTTTGGTTTGAAGAAAAGGTACCATCATAAAAATAATTTCATTTAGTAAGCACATATTAAATCCTAGCTAGGTGCTGTGCTATAACACACACATTCACATTTTAATAAAATGTGGTGCTCATGCTAAGCCAGGAATAAGGGTAAGAAACAATGAAAAATATGGTAAACTTATTAGGAATACACAGACTTTTTAATCTTTCTATGTTAAAATCTTAAATTAAAAAAAAAAGTCTCGAAAATAAGATATTCATATTGCTTCTGCTTCCATAAAAGCATTTTGTGTACATTACAATTATTATTAAGGAGAAAAAGATTACCTTTTAAAATATATAGCATTATAAATATGTAATATTTATATAATTATGTAGCTATTATATCACAAAATAATATTGCTGCACTTAGACATTGGAATGAGATTAGACACAATCACCCATTTCTTGCCCCACATTGATTTTCTCATAGAATATGCTTTTTATCACAGGAACTACTGAAAATTTAGCTATAGAAAGACATTATCAAAAATGTGTAGCAAAAATTACAAAAGACATTTAGTTTGAAATGGGCAAGAAATTAACTTCTTCATTTCTGGTCCAAAACCCATATCCAGCATGCGATCAGCTTCATCCAAAACTAAATATTTGACTTGCCTGAGACCAATCTTTAAGGACATTTTCAAAAGTTAGAGCAGAGGAATATATACTAGTTAATATATTAAAATAAAATAGTCTCCATAATTCTAGCTATTAATATATTCTTAAAAACGAAGATTAGAAATCAATGCATAAACTGATAAGAACTGTTAGGTAATATACTATTACTGTTTTCCAATTCTCAATTTTCTCTACTATTGTAAAACATATTATAAGACTAGAACAAACCAAAACATCTAGATCAATAGACCTTAATTACTTAAAAATTCTCTATCTTCATTGTCTAATATGTTAGCTACTAGCCACATGTAGCTAGCTATAAAGCACTTGAAATGTGGCTAGTGTGCCTGAAGAATTGAATTTTTAATTTTTAAAGTTAAAGAGCCACATGTGGCTAGTGATTACTATATTGTACAGCACAGATCTAGATTGTGTTATCTGATAAAGCCAGACTTTTTAATGTAAGAAATAAAATTTCCTAACAGGATGACATATACAAATGTCTTATAAATGGCAATTTCTAACTTCTTTAATAAATTCTCCATTCTCTAATCATTCAGGAAAAACTAGAAAATTCTCTTACCTTTGCATGAACACTTATTGTTATAAAAAGATGCACACATTTGCGAAAAGAAAACAAGTGACTTTGGTGCCACCATGGAAAAATCAAGGTGGATTTCTCTGGATAATCTTAATAAGTATTCTAAGAAAAGTGTCTTAATGCAGAAATAACATGTTTCGAGTAACCCCTTTAGAGAAGAGCTATAAGCAAATGAGGTTCATGAAAGCATTGGTTTAGAGATGTAATAATGTGGTATGTGAATACTTAAAATAAGTACATAGCACTAAAACTTCTTTTTAAAAAATTAGAAAATTAACAATCCTGGTTAATATCACTCCCACACTCAAAAAGGAGATAAAATTACTGATGCCACAAGGCTTTCTTCTAGGAAAAAAAAGAAAAAAAGATTTCATGAAGATATGTATGAAGCTAGATAAAAGCATTTATTGCATTTTCTTCCAGTATTGTTGGGTGCAGAATATGGATTCTGGAATCAGATCTAAATTCTAACCCTAGCCCTATCACTTACTAGAGCTAACTGAGAGGTTTAAAACAAATTATACAATCCACTGAGATTGTTTTCCCAAGTATGAAATGGAAAATACTATTTATCTTATGTTGGGATTAAGAATTATACAAGAACCCATTCAAACAATATAATGGGGGCCTAATATATAAATGGTGCTCTAATAAATGTATTTCTCTTTATACCACTCTCTCCCTTTCCCATATGAAAAAATTATTAATCAGTTCCAAAAAAATCTGTTATTCCTCTAGGGCTTACCTTTTCTTTACCTATGATATCCATCAGTCTCCCAGGAGTAGCACATAATACATTACAGCCTTGTACTATCTGTCGAATTGAATGCCCCAACTGGGTTCCCCCATATATAACAACGGCTCTTACACAAGTCCTATTGACAAGAAAAATATATGTAATTTCCTATTTACTTGAAAATTAAACATTTGTTTCTAACAAGACGTAAAACAAAAAAATAATAATAAAGAAAAAAAACTAATACATTCAACTTACAAAAATTAAATTCTTCCCAGGAAGAAACTGAAAAACCATGGGAAAACACTCAGTGCTTTAAATGGATTGTTTTCCACTATTGTGAGGGCTAAATGAGTTATATATACACGAGACACTTATAACTTAGCATATGCTAAGTATTGAATAACTTAGTGTTATTCTAAATGTACCATAATTTAACTAGTCCTCATTTGACATTTAGATACTTTGTCTTTTGCCATAACAATGTTGCAACAAATATCCATTAAATACCTGTTTTTTGCATACATACTAACCTGAATTTACTATGAAGATTTTTGTTTTTAAAAAATATTGTTTTAACTTGATTTAAAAGCATGAAAAGCAACATAAGACATGGGGATTAACAATAAACAAAAACTGGTATAAGAAATATACATCTATTTTTCCCAAAAGACCTATCAAGTTTAACTTTAAAGGGATTATAATCATGTTTTTTCTTCTTTCATTTCAAATTGATTTACACAAAATGGTTAACAGTTTCTACATAGAAAGTTCTAAAAAAAAACTATAAAGAAATACACTAAGATCCCAAGAGATAAAGTGGTAGATAACAAGTGGATAATTACAAAGGAAAATTTATTTAGCATTCAAAAAGTAGTTCAACTTTTTAATAATCAAATAAATTTTTTAATGAAGATAGCTGTGGTGGTTTTCAAATGTACACAAATTCTTCAATACTCCTTCCTTCCTCCTGAAGCGTGTGCAAGTCTAGCTTCATGAGTGTGCAATCCTTGGAGTCAGAATTCCAAGCTTAAAAGAACCCTGAGCTTGGTTTAATGCGCTGCTATTGGCTGTCTTAAAATTCATAGGTTTTCAACAAAGAATCTGTATTTTCATTTTGTACTAGTTCCAGAAAATTATGTAGCCAGTCCTGAATATGGACCAGACTTAGTGACTTTAGTGATGAAAAGTATGTGGCAAATGTGACTGCGACTATTTTATAAAAGCCACTGCAGTCTCCCCCTTGCTCTTTTGCACTGATCGATCTAAGGGTAGCCATTTGCCATTTCCTAAGGACAATCAAGCATCCTTCTGGAGAGGTACAGTCAAGCCTTCAGATAACTGCAATCCTGGTTGACATCTTGTCTGCAATCTCATAAGATTCCCCAAGCCAGAAAAACCCAGCTAAACTGTTCCCCAACTCCTAACCCCCAGAAACTGTAAGATGATAATTATTGTTTTGAGCAATTATGTTTTAGGATAGTTTGTTAAGCAGCAATAGATAACTATTACAATACCAAATACTGACAAAGTGGATAGTGAAATGGGCATTCTCATATACCACTGGTAGAAATGTACATTGGTGCAAGTTTTAAAATACGTTCATACCCTTTAACATTAAATTTATAAAAACCTAAGAAATACTTAAAACATAAAAATAGAAAAAGTTTATAGCAGCTGTACATTATAGTTTTATTTATAGTAGCCCTAAATTAGAAGCAACCTAAATGCCCCAATAGGAAAATATATACACATGGTCAATCTTAAAGTCATTAAAAATTAGGTCTGATTGTGAAATAAGCAATTTTCCATATTACATGTAAAAGAATAGAAAATTATTAGGAACAGCCTAAGTTTATTTTTTTAACATTCATTAAAAACTACCAGAAAATACACCAATATGTTCACTATTACCACTTACTTCTATTATCATCTAATTTTTAATAAGCATGTTCCTTTTTTTAAATAAAAATAAGCAGGGATTCCATAAACAAGATTATGAAAAAGTACATTTCAATTGAGTAACACTAATTACATGAGTGCATTATTACTGAGTTCTTCCCGAAATAAGCGAGAAAAATCTCTAAAGAGAGACTTGTTTATGAATGGCATTCCAGATGTACTTACCCAAAAGAAAATTTTCTGGCTTCCAAATAGATCTGATTGATCAATTCTCGAGTTGGTGCTACAATAATACACTCTGGTTCCTGCAGTTCTTTAAAACGACTGGCAGTTATTCCATCACGCATCATATGAGCCAAAATTGGCAAGAGAAAAGCTGCCTAGAAGTTAAATTGCGTAATTTACAAATGTATAATGCATCATCCTTCTCCCTGTGGAAACCCATTCCTCATTCCCTTATAACCATTAGAGTCTTCTTCCACCTTGCTGGTGAATTTAAAGTAAAAAAGGAAAACAATTTTTATTTCAATGAGTTTTTAATATTTAGGTATTTATGCTCAAATTATATAATTAAAATATTTGATAAAGTTAATCTACCCTATTAAAACATTTTTTAGTTCTTCAAAAAAAAAAAAGCATACCCATGACTCTAAATATATCAAGCAACATTAACTTGTTTATAGAGGGAAACGCAGATATAACTTGATGGAAATTATTACTACATTTTGTGACTATTCTAAATGAGACTTTCTAGTGTAGTAATAAAATTATTATTCCTAATGCATGACAAAAAGTAGTCCACGAGTAGAGCAAAAAATGGGAAAACACTCATTTGGATTACTAAACACATCACCCTTACTGAAATTATATTGGGCAAAACAAATTTTTTTGCTATATTTTTCTCATTAAGCAAATTAGACACTAAAATCTGCCTCTAAAACCATTTAATTCATACATCAGCTGCTACATTGACCATGTAGACTAAGACTAAATTAGTATGAACCAAGATTCTATGATTCTGGAAATAAGTCTTTAAGATTCATCTCATGGAACCCTATTTAATAGACAAATCCCACAGATTAGTCCTAAAACCAACCTGGTCTTATCAGAATTCTTTTAGAACTAGCATAACTTGAGGTCACTTCATAGTAAGGACCAGGTACAATGTATATAGCTATTTATCATTATTTTGACTCCAAAACTCTATCAGTTACATTACACAAATTATTTTTCTCCCTTTCTCTGTGTTTTACAGCCTCTGGTGCTTTGACCTGCAATTATTTTGTTTCAGATACTACCATGTTACAGAAGGAGTTGAGCATATTTAGAAACAGATTAAATTACCCATTAACTGCAAAACTACCCTAGAAAAATTCAAAATTCTCTCTTCAGAAATACACAAACCCCAATAAAACCAGAAATCAAAAACAAAAACATGAATATTTATTACAGCTCATTGAAATTATCTACAAACTTTCAATCCAACAAAAGAGATTCAAGGTACTTGAGAAGAACCAAAGTTCAAAAAACTTTAACAACTTGAATATGGAGAATACATGTGGGAAAGAGGCTTACAGTTTTTCCAGATCCTGTCTGAGCACAAGCCATCAAATCCCGTCCTGCTAGTATAATAGGAATACTGTATTTTTGCACAGGAGTAAGTTTAGTATAACCGGCTTTCGCAATGTTGCTATTCAGTGTCTGACAGAGATTAGCTTCTTCAAAAGTCTGAAAAAAAGGGCAGTGATTAAATTTCATATAACATATGAAGATCATTCCATAAACATATTCCATTTGAATTAAACTTTTTGTTAATTTCACTTTATATACTAGTTACTTTATGCATATGCCCCCAAAGTAATATCCAGAAACTGTATATAATTAAAGAGTATTCCCTGTAGACAGGGGTTCTAAAAACATTTTTTTTTGCCCCCTATAACCTGAGATACAAATAACTCTGATCAGTAACAATGGCTCATTATCAACAGGGCTCCCTGACTCCTTAGAAAATCACTCCCTTAAGATACTCTCACATACTTAAGAAGCAGAAATCTTGAATCTCTAGGAAAGGTATTCTTTTTAGTAAATTTAAATAAAATTCTCATCCTGGTTTGGAGAGGTGGGGATGAAATACAGTACCCTCTCTTTCAAAATAGCAATTAATTCTACTGTAGATGGTAGGCATGGTTCTAAATTTATAACATAAGTCATTAGATACTAAAGATGAAATTTCTGTATTTTTCAATATCAACTTAAAGAAATGCCCCATGTATTTTAAAAACAAAGCTTGCTACAGTCAATACAGAAATAATTATTACACTAACCAAAATTGCTGGTGGTGCATCATGTCCAGATACTTCTACAAGAATAGTATCATATTTGTCAAAGTTTATGCCTGTCTGATAATGTGCAAAGATGGAGTCCTCATCCTCAGGTGGAGGAGGTGGTATATAGGTCACTTTCGGTCCTTAGAATTTAAATAAAAAACAATCTACATTACAAGGGCTAGAAGGAAAATTAGAGGGAAAACAAAGATTGACAAAATCAAATTTTAAATACTATATAACTTCCTAATATTTACCATTAAAGTTTTCACTTAAAATTATAAAAAGTTAACTCTGCTTTTAAGTATTTCGCACTTTTATTAAAATGCAATATACATTCTTGTGGATCACACAAACATTAACATACCTTGAGTGTCACCACTTTCTCCTCCTTCAGCTTCTGACTTCCAAGAATCTTAAAGGGAACCAAACCCAAAAAGAGATAAAAATTTTTAAAAATTGAGGGGTAAAAGGACACTCATTATAAAAATCGAATACCTATCTAAAGTAAAACTTACTCTTTCCAGAGCTTGTTATTATTTCTTCATTTAAACCTTTATAACCACCTATTAAAGAAATCCATAGTGACAATTAGTCAAGATACGAGGCCATGCACATCTTTATTTTCATTGCTTATCTTCAAAGAGAACAAGTTCTAAACATGTACAGACATCCTTAAAGTCTCTTTGTACAAATAAAACTTGAGGCAATTAAGATAAACAGAATCCTGAACATTGTAAGTTTCTTTAGCATTCGAAATGCTGTTTTTATGCAGATGACACTGTTATATATTACCATTTTTTGTTTAAGCTATTATGTCACTTAATTCCTATATTCCTCGGCAAAGGAATGTATTTTCTAAAAGGAACTAAAAATTCATCTATTTTGAGGTGTCTCCACTACCACCTCCAGGTTCTGTGATTTCCTAGGACTCAGAATACAGCTGTACCCATGGCTATGACTTATTACAGTGAAAGCATGAGGAGCAAAATAAGCAAAGGTAAAGGTGCATGGAGCAAAGTCCAAAGAAAACCACGCACAAGCTTCCCAGAGTCCTCTCCCACTGGTTTCACACAGGACATGCTTAATTCTCCCAGTATGGAGCTGTGAAAACACACTGGAAATGTTTTCTACCACAGAAGCTCACTAGAGACTAAGTACTCAAGCTTTTTATGAGTGGCTAACAAAGTAGGTACCTTCTGCCCAGGATGCACGGAAATTCTAGACTCCCAGAAGAAAAGAGGTGTTCAGCATAAACCATACTGTTGTACAAACAGTATAAGAACAGCAAGCCACTCTTACCAGTTAGGGTAGTAAAACCCCTCCCCAAATCCAACTTACCAGATGCCAGGCAAAGGAAAGGCCAAGCTTATAAGCAGCACTTAATCAATAGCAGTCAGGCCTGTTAACTCTTTTCTACACACTACCTTTCTGATTTTTTAGCCAACTGGTCATCTATTGTACCACTTTCACATAGTATCACAAAACAGACTAAAGACTACATTAGAGTTGAAAAGCTAACTAGATGTAACATTTTTACACGAGAGCCCTCTAATTTTCTTATCCACAAAAGATCTTGAAATCCTTTTTCAAACAACATGTGAGCATTGGTAGACTATATGGTTTAATTAGCTATTAAGAATCTCTTTCTATAATGAAGAATCCAAGAATCAGAGGAATAATAAATAGGCAGTTCAAGGTAGTTGTCACTTTGAATGCTCTCAGACCAATAATGATCATAGAATTTTTCAGAGATATTAAACAAGTTTATTGTTTTACCAGTCAGGAAATCATTTTAACTTTTATATGACATTTATGTATTTATAAATCTGAAAAATACTTTTATAAGACCAAATCATATATACTGAACTTTCATTATCCCTTATACCAAATCAAATAATGATCTCATGATAAACATATTGTTTTAATACGATTTGTACACAGAGATATATCTCAGTTTTAACATTTGCATGGTATCCTATTTTATGTTATATTATTTATTAAAGTTATTTATTGATGACTTGTAGGTGATTTTCAGTTTTTGCTTATAATAAAAGAAGCTTCAGTGAACTATCTTGTACATATATATTGAGCAAATACATCTATAATATATAAATACTATAATAGAATTGCTGGATTGAAGATTATTAAATAACTCTCTGAAATGGGCTGTGCAAATGTATACTTCTCAAAGTATTTATAAAAGCAGTAACAGTTACTTTTAACTTCAAAAATTAAACTTGGATTATAATAAGTTTTATCACTTACAGGTAAGACAAATAAAAACTTACCTCGTCTACTTCCACTGCCACTTCTGCTTTGATAAATGTCACCATTACCTGTAAGGCATTGTTTCAGAATATTTAAAGAAAACACAGCTTCTCTTCATGCACATAAACCATATAGCTATTTCTATTCAAACACTGGGTAATAGTCAGCAGTCCTAGTTCCTTAATCCATCCATCTCTTAATTCTATATTTAATTTAAAACTGTTCCTCATGTTGTTTGTTTAAAGATTTATTTAGGTTCACAGCGAAATTGAGGGGAAGATACAGAGAGTTCCTCCTGTCTACACACCTGCATACCTTCCCCCATTATGAACATCCCCCACCAGTTGGTACATTTGTTACAATAGATGAACCTACACTGACACATCATAATCACTTACAGTCCGGAGCTTACATCATGGTTCGCTCATGGTGTACATTCTAAGAATTTAGATAAATACATAATGACATGTATTCACTATTATAGTATCAGACTAAATGTTTTCACTGCTCTAAAAATCCTCTATGCTGTGCCTATTCATCTCGCTCTGCTAACTCCTGGAAACCACTGATCTTTTTATCCTTTTCCATAATTTTTCTCTTTCAACAATGTCATATAGATGGAATCATATAGTATCTAACCTTTTCAGATTGACTTCTTTCACTTAGTAATATGTCTTTAAGGTTCCACCATATTTTTCCATAGTTTAGCTGCTCATTGCATTTACATACTGAATAATATCACATTGCCTGGATATGTACCACAGTATATTTACCCACATCTGAACTGAACATTTTTCAAAAACTTATTTTTTTCATTTTCTCCTCAAATCCCCTTGGAATCTTTTCTTTGAAACCAATGCAAACTTCATTTTCCTTCCTCCAATTAATAAAGTATAATTTACACCTCAAATTAACTGGTAGTTAAGAAAGAAGAAATAATTCGCAGTGCACGAATTTTATAAGGGAGGCAAACTTGTCCGTGTATTTTTACTACAGATCTAAAAAAGCAGAGAAAAACATAAGCCAACCTAGTATACTGAGACATATATGTTAGGTTTACTAATTCTAGAGCTAAAAGCACATATCAATGATTAATATTCAGTAATAAATTCTATTTCCCACCTGTGCCACTTAATGCTGGTCTTCTGGATCCAAAAAGGCCACTGGTGCGCTGCGTTCCCTCATCTTGTTCAAATTCGCTATCTAGATTTGTAGATTATAAAATTAGATTGTTACTTTTAAGAAGTTTTTAAATTATGCGGTAAAAAGAAATAATCAAGCTAGAATGCCAAAAGTTAAAAGATGTGGGGTAAAATCATTAAAGTTCAATAGAAATCACAACGAATATTTTTCTAAGAATTGCAAAGGATTTCTCCATAATTTCTTTCAATTACAAATTACTTTCTCAAAATTTTATTAATATTATTTTATGAAAGAATTTAGAGCCAGTGCTACACCAAAATATAAGCAAAAATCACCTCCAAAAGTAGCACTGTTACTGCCCCAGAAACTTCACATTGTATCATCTCACTGTTTATTCTCCAGAATAGCAAGCACCCTTTGCTCCCACTGTTGCCAAATCAAACCTCACCAGTCCTGTACGGCAACCCTCCAGATCCCTGTACTTTTTAAAAAACTGACAACTAACTAATCTGCTACACATCTAGTAAACCATTATTACAAATTTATGTTTTTTGCTTCCAAAACCACTAATCGGTCCTCCTCTGTTAAGAGAGACATGTAATCCAACAGTGACTTTTGAAAACTATACCTTAGCCAAGGAGTGATGGCTGGGGAAATTTAAGGTAGGAAGCCACACTGGTGAAAGAAGGTATATCAGAACCACTAAAAAGGCCACCTATCTATAAGGTGAGCCACATTACCAAGTCTCTAAAATACTTAATAGCATGTAACATTAAAAATGGAGTCACAGAAGATTCGTATACCCCAATTTAACCAGTATACAATTACATATGTGTCTAAAAAATAATATTATGTACAACGTAGGTAACTGTGTATCAGCCACTGGGCTAAGCTATTCTCATATAATCCACGTAACCACCGTATGTGATAGGTATTATTTTTTTATCATTTCCTCCTTAATGAAGCACACCATCTGCAATCCACTACTAACTTGGACTTCCTAGACCAAATCCTCCACGGCAACCTCGGAAGCTACCTCTTCCACCTCTTCTGGATGACCCTGAAGCTTCTGAATCATTTCCATCTTGATAGCCTAAAAAATATTAAAACACACACATAGAACACCACAAAAATTAACAACAAAGAAATCGTGGGTACACAGTGGCCAAATTGAATTTAAGCTTTGGATAATTCAATGACTTTAAATAAATATTTTAAGGCATTAACAAGTACTAAAATGAAACACCATATTTGATTTATAAATGTTCAACTTTACTAACATAAGTAGAAATGGCTACAATTAAAAAAAAAACTGCTTGCTTTGGGAATCAAAAATAAAAATGATTAAAAGGAAAAAGTGTCACTTGTAACACACTGAAAGTTGCCACAATTGCACCATTAACCAGAACTGCACAACCCACAGGAGGATTAAATAAAGAAATGCTTATATTTGCTCCCTATAGAAAATAAACACCATATTCAAAACACGGATATGTAGTTACATACAAAGTCTGATCTCTTGTTATAAGCAATACATTTTTAATTCAATTGAATACCAAAAAAATCAGTAAAACAGTTCAGGTAAAATGTGATCCCACCTATGGCAGAATGAGATCAATTCAAAACCAAAATGCCAACTGGGTAGGACATTTTAAAAACTTAGATTGTTTATGAACTTCCAACTATTTATATTGATTAAAGGTAAAAATTCTATAATATTTCTTGGTACTTGGTACATACATTTTTAAAACCTATTTATAAAATGGGGCAGAACTAATTCAAAGTAGATTCATAGTTATGCATCTATTACCTTAACCTTGCAAAGCACACTTCAATCTAGTAACAATATATTTATCAATACTTACACCCACTATTTTATTCTAAATTATTTATTTGTGCCTCTTTATCTTTTAAACCTTGTCAGAATTTCTCTTCAAGAAAGTTTATCTTTTCCATCTGCTTTTCTTTTTTTTTAGTTATAAGTTATTTTCTTGTGTGTGTGTATAAATAAAAGAACATATAAAACCTATGTAAGTTTAAAATATAATGAAAACCTATAGGCCTACCACCCAGTTTAACACTAAACTGTTCCCAATATCTTTACTGCCCATGCATGTCTTCTACCCTATATTGTTTCTTCCATTCCCCGGAGAATTTTCCCCAACCCAATGTCTTGAATTGTTTTTCATTTCCTTGGTCTTATTTTAATGTTACCAACTATGTGCTTATCTTTATTAACATATTTACAGTTTATCTATTTCTATTTCATTTATGTCTGTTATCTTTTTTACTTCTTGAGTTTTTCTTTTTAAAATTAAGTTCAACACTAAGCTCACTAATTTCTATCCTAAATAGATGCATTTAAGACTATAAAATTTCCTTTAAAAGCTAGCTGCTTTAGCTATATCCCATAAGTTTTGATATGTTCTGTTTTTACTGTCACAGAGTTTTAAATATTTCATTAATTCCATCAAAAACATTATTCACAGACTGAGAAATTCAGTTTTCAACCCACAAGGGTTAGGCTTTTTGTTACTGATTTCTACTTTTATTGTACTTTAACAAGAAGATGTGGTCATAATATAAATTCTATGGTATATTTTGTGACTTCTTTTTGGCCTTAATAAATGGTCAAATTGTATGCATTTTCCATATGCTGGAAAATATGTAATTTATAATTTGGGGGTATATTATTTCAAATAGAAATATTAAATCAAACTTAGCAACTGGTATTCAAATCTTCTAGAGTTTTCTTCATTTCTGTTCTGCTTAGTCTATCAGTTTCTGAGAGAAAATGGTTTAAATCTAGGATTAAGAGTTTAACTAGAATTTGCAAATTTTTCTGATAATTACGTCTACTCTTGCTTTATATATGTTAGAGTCAAACCATGCTCAGAACTGTAATGTCTTCTCAGTGAGCATGTCTTTTAAGTAATTATCACTAATGTATGTGACTTAGAGTCTATTTTATCTTGTATTTCTATACCAGCTTCTTTTGGTTAATATTGGACTGACTTTTTTTCTCTTTATTTTCAGTTCTGCACTGACATATATTTACACGCATGATTACGATACAGATTTTTATTTCTATCTTATGTTTTATGTTTACTATTTTTCAATGCTTTTTATTCTCCTTTCTGTCCTATTAGATTTCCCCAAATGCCATATTTCATTTTATGCTTTTATTGATATCCTTTAATTTCACCATGAATATTTAAGAACTATTTAAATTATTTTTATCCTAGACTCTTTCCTACAAAGCCCTGTCCTTCTATGGGATTTCTTCCCCTAGTAACTTATACATTTTATTTTACCCTTTTTCTGATTATCCTTCTATTTCGCCATATTTAAGAAATATTAAATTAGTTTCAATTTATTCTCTTTCCTATTGAGCTGGCAAAAATCTTGTCTTTTCTTTGCTAGTATTTTAGTTCTTTCATGTTTCTAAACCCCCTAAATTAATCATCATTATTGCTAGCTTATACAGTCAACATTTATTTAGGTTTACCAATACATTTACCAATTTTAGAATTTTATTTAGTTATTTTGACTCATCTTTACTTTCTACTCCTTTCTTTCTATTCAGTTTCTTTCTTATTTATAGATGGTTTAGTAGTTCTTTAGTGGCCTGAAAGTACTAAGCATCATTTTTATCTGAATGATATTATTTCTCTTTGACACCTAAATTATATGAATATATCGATTTGGATTTAGAATTATTCTCCCTCAGCATTCTGAATTCTACTATATTCTGATCTCTACCTTTACAGGTGGATCTGGCTTTTTTTTCTTTTTCTCTAGTAGTTTTAAAGATGTCTCTATCTTTTGTAATATTGTAGTTTCAAAACATGCATAAAGGTGTGAATTGTTTTTAATTTCCTCAGAATTCTTGTACCTCTTTAACTCTGAAAAAGTCTCATCTATTTTCTTTAAATAGTCTCCTTTCTCCTCTTTCTCCTCCTCCAATTTTTCTGTTCTTTCCTCAGGAGATATTTAGTCACATGTTAGGATAACAGGACTTCTTAGTCTATTTTCCATATCTGTTAACAGCTTTCACGTGTTCCATTTCCAAATTTTGAGAATTTCCTCAGATCTGTCTTTGGAGTCATTTATTCCATTCATCTGCGTTTAATCTGTTTAATCCACCCATCATGTTTTAATCACTCTATTATTTTCTTTAAATTCAATGTGGTTCTTTTTCAAATCTACATGCTCAAAAAAAAAAGAAAAAAGAAAAAAAATCTACGTTCTCTGCTAAGCTATATGCCTCAGTATCTCTGATATCTATAGCTTAATGACTCCATACACAGCAGAAACTCAAATATTTAAATGAACATGCTCTTTTTTCTTCCAGAATTGGTGCCAATTCCAAGTTACATAAGGAGCTTAATAACTAGAGGTGAAAAGAACATAGATGTTATGTAGAACTGAAAAGTCTACACAGTCTTTTTGGCTGAAGGTAGGGGCAGAAATTCCACATATCCTACATCATCTTAAAAATAATGATCTGTGTTAAAAGGTAAAACACTGTAACAGATATAGATATATGAACTAGATCTATACTTTCAATATATAAATCTTAAAAAATGTTAAAGTCATAAAAAGGTATAATATTAAACTTTTATAAAAATATGAGTAGGAAGTATACACACCAATGTCAAAATAAGTCACCTCTTGGAAGGGGAAAATATAAAATATAAAGGAAGGATGGGTCATCTAATAATTCTGTAATTTTTTTCCATATATAAAATAAATATTCAGAACTTTTTCTGAGATATTGAACTATTTGAAAATTTACCCTTTAAATGTCTCTTTTCATAAAATAACATATTTTTAAATGGTGACATGAGTCTTGTGATGAGGTATAGTCTGCATTTCAGAAGAGAAAGCTGACAATTCTTTGCACTATTGAAGATTCTGGGTAACAATTGTCAGGAAAAAAATGAGTTTATAAATCATTTAAATTCAGTATAAAAGAAATGTAAATATCTTTTTTTTTTATTTTAAAAAAGTACTTACCACAAATTTAGCAAGGTCACTGAACCTTCAATATACAAAAGTCAATTATATTTCTATATACCAGCAACAAATGAAAATTTTTATAATATAGATCACTGACATCAGCAAATATGGCAAAGTAAGGAACTCAAAAATCTGTTACTCCAAAAAAGAAAAAAAATAGGCACAAAAATGTCAGAATTAACATTTTCAAACTCTGAAAAGTAAATATTTGCAGTTACCCAGTAAATGTATTTTTTTTTTAAGGCTGATATCAGTAAGAATAGTTAACTTCGTGGCATATTTTAACTTATTCCAGTCTCATAGCCTGGCAATTGCATATACCCAAAAAATGCAAAAACAGGGACTCAGATATCTGTATATGCATGTTCATAGGAGCACTATTCACAACAGCCGAAAAGCAGTAAAAATCCAAGTGTAAATCACCAGATGAATGGATAAGTAATATGTGGTACACACATACAGTGGAATATTATTTGGCCATAAAAAGGTAGTTCTGATACATGCTACAACCTGGATGAACATTGGAAATGTTATTCTAAGTAGATTAAACCAGACACAAAGGGGCAAATATTGTATTTCACTTGTATTAATTAGAATAAATAAATTTATAGAGAGCACAGAATAAAAGTTATCAGATACTGAGAGGAAGAAGGTATGTTTTGCTTAGTGGATAAAAGTTTCTGCTTGGATGATGAAAAAGTTTTGGAAATAAATACCAGTGACAACTGCACAAGCCTGTAAAGATTCTTAATGCCATTGAATTATAAACACTTATAAATAAAATGCCAAATTTTATGTTATAGTTATTTTACCACAGAAAAAGAGCAGAAAATTTCCCAAATTTGATTTAAAATATTAATCTATACATCCAAGAAACTTAATAAACGCCAACTTGGATAAATCTAAATAGAGTTGCACCTACACACATCAATATAAAACACAAAAAATGGTGCTAGGGCAACTGGATATCTACAAGCAAAAGAACTGATTTGTACCCTTACCTCATACCATATACAAAAATGAACTGAAAATTGATCAAAAACTTAAATGTAAGAGTGAAAGCTGTAAAATTCTTGGAAGGAAACAGGTGAAAATCTGCATCACCTTGGAAAAGGCAAAGGTTTTCTAGATATGACACCAAAAGCATCAGCAACGAGAGAATAAAATAAACTGAATTTCATTAAAATTTAAAACTTTTGTGTTTCAAAGACTATCATCAAGAAAGTGAAGACAATCCACAAAAAGGGAGAAAATATTTTCAAATCGTATATCTGATGACACTTGTATCATGAATACATAAAGAATTCTTAAAATATTAAAAAGACTATCCAGTTTTTTAAATGGGCAAAAGATCTGGCTAGATATTTCTTTAAAGAAGATATACAAATGGCCAATACACCCAGGAAAAGCTGCTCAACATCATAGCAATCAGCAAATGCAAATCAAAACCACAATGAAATACAACTTTACACCCACTAGTATGGCTACAATTAAGACAGACAGACAATAATAAGCACTGGCGAGGATGTGGAGAAACTGGAACTCTCATACATTGTGGGTGGAAATGTAAAATGGTGCAGCTGCTGTGAAAAACCATTTGACAGTTCTTCAAAAAGCTGAATATGAGAGTTACCATATAACTCGGAATTTCCACTCCAGAAAAATAAAAACATATGTCCACACGATACATATACACAAATGTTTACAGCAATATTAGTCATAATGGTCTAAAAGTGGAAACAACCCAATGTCCATCAGCTGATGAATAAACAGAATGTGGTATAGCTACACAATGGAATATTATTCAGCCATAACTGGGAATGAAGTATTATTACATGTTACAAAATGAATGACCCTTAAAAACATCATGCTAAGTGAAAGAAGTCAGACACAAAAGACCACATATTATATAATTTCATTAACATGACATATCCAGAGTTGGCAAATCCATAGCTATAGAAAGTAGGTTAGTGGCTGCCAGAGGATGTAGAGAGAGGGGACATTGGACTAATTGCTGATAGTCACAAGGTTTCTTCTGGGGGAAAGTGAAATGTTCCGAAATTAGATAGTGGAGATAGTCACACAACATAGTATCTATATTTAAAACCACTGAAGTATATACTTTAAAATGATGGAGTTTATATTATATATAGTATTAACTCAAAAAAACCATATGCACCACAAATACTCAAGTACAGAAAGATATATAAGGACTCTATAGTGAAAACTACAAAAAATGAGCTAGGAAAAATTAAAGACCTAAATAAATAAGGATATTCAGGGATTGGAAGACTTGATATTGTAAATAAAAAAATTCTTTCTGCCCAAATTAATCTACAGATTCAATACAATACAAGTAAAAATTCCATTAGGTTTTTTTCCCCCCTCTGGAAATACATAAGCTGATTGTAAAAATCATATGGAAATGCAAGAGATTAAGAAAAACCCAGGTAATCTTGAAGAACAACAAATCTGGAAGACTTACATAACCAGCTATCAGAACCTTCCTATAAAACTACAGTAACTGGCCTACATGATAGTACTGCAAAAAAAATAGAGAAGCTAACTAATGGAATGGAAATAAGTCCAGAAAAAGTTCCACATATATACTGCCACCTAATTTAGGACACAAGCAGCCCGGTAGTGTAGGGTGGGAGGAACAGTCTTTTCAATAAGTGATTCTGGATCAACTGGACATCCATACAGGAAAAAAATGTACCTTGATCCCTACCCTATACAATATACAAAAATTAATTCCAAATGAATTACAATCTGAACGTGGAAGCTAATAAGATAAAGTTTTAAAAGGAAAACAGAAGAGAATATTTTGATGACTTCAAAAGGAGCCAAGAGTTCTTGAACCAGGAAAATAAGCACTAACCGTAAAAAACAATACGGGTAAACTGGGCTTGATTAAAATGAATAACTTCCATTCATTAAAAGACTCCCAATATGAGTATTATGCAGAAGTTACTTGCACTATACTTGTCTATTTTCTCTAAGTTTTAAATGATTTACAAATAAAAGATAAAAATGAAGGCGCCCAACATAAAAGTGGACAAAGGACTTGAACAGGCATCACACAAAAGATGATGTCCGAATAGATAATGGACATATGAAGCACTACACATTTCAACAGTCCATCAAAGAAATGCAAATGAAAACTACAATAGGATACACCACCACACTCTTAGCAAAATGGTTAAAATGAAAGAAAAAGAAAATACCAGATACTGGTGAGGATGTGGGAATGTACCTTAGTATATCTACTTTGAAAACATTTGACAATAGCTATTAAAATCAAAAATATACACATCTGTGACCCAGTAAATCTACTTCTGAATATATACTAATGTCACTAAAAAAAAGTACTAGAATGTTCACAGCAGCAGTTTAAAAATAGCTCAAAAAAAAAATTCAAGTACCCACCATTAGCAGAACAGTAAAACAAAAACATACTATGTATATAGCAATGATAATGCTCTACGATTGCAATCAACAATATGAATGAATCTCACAAATACATTAATCAGAAGCTGAACACAAAAGAGTATATATTGTATGATTCTATTTATGTTAAGTACAAAAACAGACAAAATTAATCTATGCTACTAGGAATCAGAATAGAGGTTAACTTTGAGGAGATGGCTAGTGAGTGAAATGAGCTTAAAAGGGGCTTTTATAGTGCTAATAATTTCTAGTTCTTGATCTGGATGCTTGTGAACACATTGACCCCTGATGTGTTCAGTTAGTGAAAAATCACTGAGCTACGTACATTTATGATATGTGTACCTGTCTAATGCTATATTATGACGTACTTCAATATACACTTATATTTACAAACATACTGAGATTTACTGAGTGACCACCATGTGCAAATTTCCTACTCTCAAATGTATATAGCTACAATGAAAAGCAATCAAGGAAACCCTTAAAAATGACTGTGACCTTGCTAGTCACCCCATACTAGTCAATAAGATAGAATCAAGCACATAGAACAGCAACTGGCTATTGACTTCCTCACTTAAATATGAACTAAACTGATTTTAATAAAATGTAATAGTAAGGAAGATATTTACTGTTCTGCAGCAAACAACCAAAAATTTAATAAAAGCAATGTTTTACATACATTAAGTGTCAAAAACTGTTTGTTACAAGGGAGAGAAAAGGAATGCTAACAGTCATCTGTTTTTTTTCCTTAGCTAAATTTTCTCCCCATCATTATACAGCCCCCTGCAATTAAAAAGATTCAATTTATGAGACAAATAGCCACATCTCATTCACCACCAAATTTGACCCACTTTACATCCCTAACAAGGCTATACTAAAATCAACAGCAAGTTTTACTTTCACATGGGAAAGTCTGTTATTTGATGAACTAACCATCTAATAAGCAAGGGAAAAAGATGTCAATTTGCAGCAAAAATACTGATGTATCTGAGTTCTATGTAGTTCCAAACAATAAATTCTTTCATCATAAGTAGATCTGTACTCTGTAGCAATTTTATGGTAAGTTCACTACAGTTTTTTAGGCTTTTTGTTGTTGCTATTTTAACATTTCTGCCTCTAAAGAATCAAGAATTAAGCATGACAATTTTTATGCCATCTCCCACCAACTTCATTAGAGGCAAGATTAGCAGAGTACGGTAAAGTGGTGCTAGACTTGAACAATAAGTAATCTACAATTTCTTCCCTCCCCCACATCTCCAGTGGTGTCCTGTTCAGAGACAAAAACATCTGTGACTGACCAAGATTCACACAGTCTCGCTTCTGTACTTTACAGCACATTCTAGAGACCTTGTGTAGGGGAAAAAAAAAAAGAAAACAGTGATAGCAGAAAGTGAAAAGTTAGAACTCTTACTGAATACTCATCCAAGTACTAACAACATAAAACATAAGCCAAAGTATTTTTCTTCAAGGTTTTTGCCACCAGAATTTTTCTTTCTTTCATCTCTTCTGAGATCAGTTTTGTCAGTTTATTTGTATAGCAACAACAAATTGTTCCAAAAGGTAGTCCTTACCTCCTCTCTTGGAAAACCCTCTGTTCCGTGTTTGATTATCTTCACAGTCATTATTAGCCTCTTAAATAAAAATTTAACATGTGAATAGCATCTAAATAATTAACTTTAAAGATGTAATATCTAAAAAATTACACTACATCACTTGTATATCTGAAACTAAGTCAACTGTAATTGAAAAATAAAGATTAATTTAAAAATTATTTTTAAAATAAAAATCAGTCACAAGATTGAATTAGTAAGAAAAATATATTTTCATAAGAAAATATAAACAATTCTTGAAATAATTTTAACAGAAATATAAAGACATTCAGTCAATTCCCTATACAAATCACCTAATATAGCTAAATATTAAATAAATGTATAATGAAGAACCCACTATTTGCCAAATGCTAGGCACAAGTCAAAAATAAGAATTTCATAAACGTCAATTTGACTAAAAATGGTTTCAGAAATAGCTAAACTATTAAACTAGGCAAGTGGTTCTCAAATGTGGTCCACAGACCACTAGAAACACATGACTATTCTTTTTATGTCATTATTATTTCTGTAATTTGGCTCTTTAATAAACCCAAGACATTCATGTTTTTTCCTAAATATATGCAAACTTTTCCACATTCATGATAATAAAAAAACTGGGGGATATCCTGGTTTTTCTGTTTTTAATGACATTATCGAGTAACATTACCAGGGTTTCTAATAGGCCTGAAGATCATTACACTGAAGGCTGCCTAAGAAGTATCTGGTAAGTTGATTAAAAATAAATTCCCCAGAGATGTTTATTTTGAAAGTGTAAAGTGATAGCAAGGAATAAATTATTTTTCAAAATTAAAAAATTATGTTATTAATATAGGTTTTAGTAATAACTTTAAGCTTTCTAGACTATTCCAACAAAGCCACATTTGGGAAATACACAGACGGTTTCAAGGGATCTTTGTATATGTCATTAATGTTCAATATATGAGAACTTTAAATCACAGTGATGACATCAAATAGCTAAACATCTCAGAAGCTGTCAGTTAAGTCTCTGTGCAAAAGTACTAACCTACTTAACAATTAATATTATTTACAATGAAACACCCAGAGCTCTTGTTGCAGGTGCCTATTTGATCAGAAGTCAACTGACAAACATTCCTACAAAGCCATCTATTATCAAGACAATTTTCTAAGAAGCAGGATTTAATACTACAAGGGGCTGAACAGGAAAGAATGAATTTTGGAAAGAAGGGTTAGCCCTGGAATAATGATAATGATAGCTAGCATTTATTGCTTTATAGAAGAAAAACCTATGAATTAATTGGGGACCTGGTTAGAAGAGGTCTCACATTATCTTTAGCCAATTATTCCGCTAAAACAAACCTATATTGATTTTGACTATATTAGGGATTGATATAAGTTAATGACATTAGGAGAAGCTGGATGAAGGGCACAATTACATTAGAAGAAGGGTAAAGGAAACCCTCTGTACTGTTTTTGCAACTTCATTTGTCTTAAACTATTTCAAAATAAAAAATTTATATATATAAAAAGAATCTCTGTAAAGTTAGAAAATAAAGCCAAGCACAACAAAAATGAGATAATGATCCCAAGACTAGTTATAACCAACTAATTATGTAAAAATAATAGTAAGATAACTTAGTGTCGGACACTGTTCTAAATGAATTATATGTATCAGCTTTTTAAATCCTCACAAAAACCTTGTGAGGTGAGTAACATCCTCATTTTACAAATGGAGAAAATTAAATACAGAGAAGTTTAATATGTTCTTCAAAAATATATAACCGACAGGAAGAGGAGGAAGATCTGGGTCTCAAATCTAGGGTATCCAACTCCAAAATCTAAACTCCTTATCACTACACTATACTAGCCAGGGGAAAGTAGACTGGAGGGAAAATAGCAACCACAAAACACGCCATCCATTTGTGTGTGGAGTAAAAGCTTTTGTCATTATATCAAAACCTACTCCTAGGCTCACCAACAACAATTGTGAGAATGAAAGAATTCAATCCTCATTTTTTTTTTTAATTTTAGGGGGACAAAAATGAGATTAGAAGAAAGTAGACCAAAAGAAAGAAAGCAGAGCATTTTGGAAAAAAGTTCTCTCATGTATAGTGAGAAAATGATATTGTGTTCAAAAGCACTCTGCCACTGAAAGAAGTCAGTTGGGGAGGAAGGTCTTTAAGTGGAAATGATCTTGAATATTAATTGATTAAAAACTAGAAATTAGGTCAAGTAAAAATAGAAAAGGATTAAAATGATGATGTTTTTCTTCGCTGAAATATTAGCTCTATGTTATATATGTTTTCACTCGAATGGGACAGGAGAACAAGCAGGGAGAAGCTGGGAGACTGAGACTGACAACAATTTGGGCAGAACAGTCTTATTTTATATGTTAAAACTCTACCTTATTCCAAAAGGGTTTAAGGAGATCAAGTCTGTTTGGTTTTGATTTTAAGAATCACTATTAAGAGTATAAGATCAACTCCAAATACTTATTGAAAATAGATGGCATTTACTGTTTACCATAATTGTGTCTGGTACTAAACTTCCTGCTTTTATATGCATCATGCATTCTCATTTAGTCTACCTAACCACCTATTAAAATGGATGCCTCCATTCTACAGAATAGGAAATCTGTGGCTCTGAGAAATTAAGCAACTTGCTCCAAGTTATTAAGGTAGCAGAGAAGAAACATGAAACAAAGTCTGGTACTCCAAAGTGCATTATGTTTTAAAGATTCCACATATCAGCAGTTATCAAACAAAAAAGGTATCAGAATCACCAGGGATGCTTTTTTAATACAAGTTCCAAGGCCTCACCCAAATTACTCAATCATGCTCTCCTGAGAAAGCTAACGATTGTAACCTATCTGTTGGTAATATTATTCTCATTATTCTCTGTACTCCTCCAAACCAGTGTCAGTACCTTTGACAGAAATGTCTTTGATTTCATTCTATATTCTCATGAATCTTTTTCCACTGTCAAGACTTATTTGAATCTGAAAAAGGGCCCACATATCCCAAAATGTATTTATATTGGAAGTGTAATTTTGATTCTTGACTTGCTCTTTCTAATATCACCTTTTTCGTACAGTAGCACAGCATTCAAAAGTTGCACCTTATAGATTAACTAAGGCATGTAGCAACAGGCCAAATCAGGATGCCTGAATCCTTAGCTAAGGCTCTGGCTATAGCTGCTTTATAAAATTGGGTTTCAATAAATTAGAATTGGAACAGACTAAGATACTTAATCCTAGTTTCTCTTTAGCATGTACTGTAGACATTAAATTATAAAAGTCACTAAAAAAAACACTAACTTACCTCTCCAGAAACCAGAGCTATCACCTTCTTCAAACTTGTTATTTGAAAAACCTATACAAAATATAAAATTAAACTTGCAAATTTCTGAAAACAATAATTACCTGAACCTCTGTAGTGTTAAAAAGAAAACCAAAAATCTTACAAAGACTACTAGTTATGATGCCTTTTTAAAATAGGATAAACCACATACAACTTTATATGTAAATAATGAATATGAACTAATATAGACTGTATTACAATTTATGCCTTGTATCAATTTATTAAGGTTAAATGTCAATGAATGTTATATTACCTCTTATATCATATATTCCTCTATCCATACATGAGCAAAACTGGGTATATGTCAATATAATCACTAATACTTCCTATTCAAAGTATGAACATTTTTTAAATTTTACAAATTAACTCAATCTCTTCATCTGCCAAAGGACAGTACAACTAAATCATAATCCAATATTCAGTAATTTTTCCCTTCTCAGTAAAGAAAATACTACTCAGCAAAAAAAAAACTTTTTTGTTTATAAAAAAATTTTTAATCTTTCATCAAACTCTGCTTTCAAATTTCTCATTTAATAAAAATCTGTGTCTAGATTTATGTATCTGGAGTATACAGATTTGCCTCTAAAATTAATTTTAAAAGCATTCATTGGTAATATTTCATAAAATTTTTAAATGTTGAGTCTTAATCAAATGATCTTTAGTGCAGAGATATTCAGAGATATTCATTGTCAATATAGGATGCCTGTCAATCAGTATTTAACCTAAATTATAAAATATTAAATTATGGTTTCTGTAACAGAGATTAATCTATTACTATTTGACAGATGTTACATTTACATACAAAATGTATACATATCAAATCACTTAACATCTCAGGTTTAACCAAAATCTAACACCCCCCTTCCAGCATAAAACTCCATGAAGATTTAATACACAATTATCACATAAAAGTAAGTACCCTATGGCCTTGATATATGATTAAATGACAAAAAAAGTTTTTTCTTGAGCAGATATATAATTTCAAAATAAAGATAATTTCTA